GGTGTGGCATGGTGTGGCATGGTGTGGCGTGGTGGGCATGGTGGGCGTGGCTTGGTGGGCGTGGCAGAAGGATACTGCAAAATCCCCATTCCCTCCCCACTCTTGGGCCAGCCAGTGGTGGTATTTGCCAGTTCTCCGAACTATTCAAAATTTCTGCTACCGGTTCTCCAGAACCTGTCAGAACCGGCTAAATTTCACCACTGCCTCCAAGTAGCCGGCTATAGAGGACCCACAATGGGAGAAGGTTCTATCTCAGCTTCCTACTTGCAAAGAAAAAGCTTCTACAAGAAGCAAACGTATTCAACTAAAATGAACCTGGGCTTCATCATGTCAGGCTCTGCCTATAGTCCAAACGTTGCCACTAGTGTTGCTATTCTATCTTATTGTCCCACCAGATAAATCTTTGGACTAGATTACATAGATGTCTACACCATTTTGTAATTACGACAAAGCAATGAAATGTATGATGAAACTTCACTGAAGTTTACTGTAATTTTGATAATTGTTTTCATTTCCCAAACCCTCAGCACATTTATGGGGTATTTGGTGATGGTCCCCATTACTGCTGAATTGACCTGTTGAGAAAAATCTCTTCTCTACCCCGAAATGCTGCAGATCACAAAGCTTCTCACCATCATACCACACAAAGGAGTGAGTCGGTCAGACCAAGAATGAAACCTCAGAAGTCTAGCACTCTACACCAAGATTCCTCTCTGATGATGAAAGGGAGGAATGATTAAATTCTGGCTAGCTTCACACTAACTTTTTCACTTGGGAATGGATGAAAAAGACCTGCAAAACCATGAAGTCAGAATTTATCTCCCAGGATGTGAGGTTTGGAATCCCCCAAAATGTATGAAACAAGAATTTCCTTCAGCAAATAGGAAGTGAGTCAGTGGTAGGTTGCCCCAGGTTCGGACCGATTCTATAGAACCGGTAGTAAAATCAGCAAGAGGCTCCGCCTACTGACCCCAATGTCATCAGGAAGCTTCTGTACATGCACAGAAGCGAGAGAGAGCAAAGCAAGCACACACACTTGGCCCCATTGTGAACCAGTATTAAAGGTAAGTAGAACCCACCCCTGAAGTGAGTCATATTGCATCCCATCACCTGCCAAGAAAAATCAAACAAAAAACAGTTTTGAAATAGTTTCAGCCATGTTGTAGCAGACTGGAAATAAACCAGCTTAATTGATGCTGTGGGAACAGAAGCTTGCTCAAAATGCCAATGGGGAGACTCTCTAAAGAACAAAACTTAAGTATTCTACAGTGCCACTTTCAAAAAAACAAAAACAAAAACCCCAAGTGCTATTTTTGAAGCCATTGTCCTACATTCTATTTAACTAAGTGTGTAGCCCTCAGAAAATAATCTCTCAACATGAGTTAAGCATAACAGTGTGAATTTCCAGTGGTCAGAAAAAGCATGCTATATTAATAACCAGGATGGACTGCTGAATGGTTTTCCTGACTGCTATCTCTACTTCAGTATCAGAAACATTGTGATATACCATTTACCTAATAAAATCCAAGGTGAAATTAAAACTGGTTCACTACAATTTATTCAAACTTGCCTTTTGAGTATAGATCTGCATAAGTCCTTGGTGGAGGTCACTATACCCATGGTGCCAAAATCTAGATTCCCAATAGAAAGAAAATGAAATAGAGAAGATTCCCTTTGCTACCTAATAGTGACCCAGATTTCGGCACTGGCACAAATCCTTTATCCATAGCAGCCCCCCCACAAAAGGTAACCTCTACCCTTTTTTTACTGCTATGTATCAAAAATGTTGTTTTCTGGTTTGTGCCAGCTCAGTGCAATGTTCACCTGTTCTGTCCATTTTATTTTGGGAGAGGGATCCACCAATCACCAGCCATGGTAAATAATCATATGCTCCAGACCCCACATCAAACCAACCAATGAACAAAGCAGAGGAAGATGTTGAAGTCCAAAAAGGATTTCTTAGGATGGGTTCATTTCTGTCCAGTTTCAAGGGAGTCCAGCAGGTATAAGATCTCAGCAAATCGTTTGTTTACTTTCCATGTGATCTTCAGATTATCCATGCAGGGCCAGAGCAAACAGTACTCTATTGAGAGTCTATCAGTTAACCAGAATTTATATTTCTTAACTTTTCCATTTCTAACATCTGTTTTTCTGCCAGTGCATTCTTTAATGTATGCTTGTATCTGTCTCTCTCTCTCCTAAAACTGATCCCATTCATTTCTGTCTTGAAACTTCTTGTAAAAAGATTGCACGGCTCCATCTGTCTCATCTTTTTTTAGAGTGAAATATACTGTCCATGAGCTTGTCAATAGAAATGTCAGCAGTTCAGTGGTTCGAATCCCTAGTGCCGCGTAACGGGGTGAATTCCCATTACTCGTCCCAGCTTCTGCCAACCTAGCAGTTCGAAAGCACGTAAAAAATGCAAGTAGAAAAATAGGGACCACCTTTGGTGGGAAGATAACAGCGTTCCGTGCGCCTTTGGCATTTAGTCATGCCGGCCACATGACCATGGAGACGTCTTCGGACAGCGCTGGCTCTTCAGCTTTGAAATGGAGATGAGCACCGCCCCCTAGAATCGGGAATGACTAGCACATATGTGCGAGGGGGACCTTTACTTTTTACCTTTATGCTAGCCACAAAATTCAATGTAGGAGTTTCAGCAAGGTACAATCTACTCTGACAATGAATTGTTCAGTGTATTCTGACCCTTGTATTGGATATTGCCCCATAGAAAACAAATAAATGCTTTTGACTTGGATTTCAAGGTGCTCTGCTAGTACAGAATATTTTCTACTCATAAAAGGACTGTATTTCACAAACAAGCTGGTCTGGACATAGATATTGTTTTTCTGATTAAGAGTTGCCTAAGGTTTTTCTCTAAAACTTAAATGCTATAACTTAGTTACTTTATCCATCTTTTTTTTTTTTACTGTTGAAGAACATATATTGCATTATATTTTTCACTGAACAGTTCTATTGCAGCTCCTTCTTCCATTCCTAGTTCTTGGGATTCAAGTTTATGATAATATTGTTTGATCTGTTGAATTTTCAGTATAACTTTAACATACCTATTTACGCACATGCATAGCATGTCCACAAACATTACAGTTTCTCTCTGCAGACTCAGTTCCATCTGATGCTGAAAATATCCTCATATGTATTTTATAATTCTAAACTTGGAAAAAAAAAAAAACCCTGCCATCCAGAAATTGCCATCAAGGTGTTTGGCAAAATCAAAACATCATGGTAGAAAAATTCCATTGAGAGCAATCATCCCCCCAAAAAATAGCTCCTTGAAAATGCATCAGAATTATAGAGGAAAAAAAACACCTTTATTTTTCCAAAACTTTTGAAGGCATTTTTGGCATTTGATTCAGTCTTGCACAATCTGATTTACAACTTTAATATTAATGGATGATATTAATATTAATGGTTTTGCCTAAAAGTGCAAAAAATTTATCTTAACAATCCAAATTCCATTGCTGGATGATATGGTTATATATTTACCGACCAAAATAAGATTTTCCACCAAAGGAAAAAAGGAAGGGAGGGAGGAGCAAAAATGTCTTCACATTACGACAGTTATTTTACATCATATATGGATTTTTCATAATTACAGTTTCATATATAGTATTTTCTTTTTTCTTTTAAAATATCCATAATTCAGTCAGTCATAATACAAGTCATAATGATTATAGTCGTCAGAATTAAAGTTAATAGTGACTACCAGTATTTTCAAACACTGAGGCTATTTCTTCTTTAATTAAACAGGGGAGTAATATAGATCTTGTCAGTAATGTTAATTAGTTACAAACCACAAACAATTTATGTAATGAAATAAATGAAAATAGATAAACATCAACAGCAGCATCTTTTTGCCATTCTCCTTCACAAATGCTTTCAGTAATGCAACAAGTTATTACCACTGGCACAAATGTATTTGGATCTCATGATTCATGTCCACAGAAGCTTTTCTGCAGCCCAAATGACATTCATCCGCCATTTTTTTCAAATTTGGTGAAATGTCTGCATTTGATTCTGGGTTGGCCCAAGTTCTTTTGCTGTTTGAAACAGAAGGCAAGATACATGCCTTTTTTTCTGTGCACAAAATGAATCATTTTCAACTCTAGGGAAAAAATAATTAAAAATGGCTCCAAAATTTGGATAGTGTTGTATGATTGTCTGAATTTTCTTCTTCCCCTCATTCTGCTTAGAACTACATATGCTGTAAACAAGTACCTTTAAGTCTAGAGAGAGCTCTCCACTGCACAAACAAACCCAAATAAACAAAAAACCCTCTACATTTCTGAAGCGAAATAATTGTGTTGCCATCTACTTTCAGGGGTTTTCTCATTTTAGCACATTTGAATATTTTTATATTTAGAAATCAAATATTACAAATATTTCCCCCAATGCTCATACAAATGAAATGTATTTTTGCTATAATGGGGGAAGTGTGTAAAAACAATTTGCTAATACTCACAGAGATAACCCTCAAATTGACTTCTTCGCTGTTGACAATGGGAAAGCTATTGCTATTATTAAACACTAAACAAAATTGTCACAAGTAAATAACATTTATTTGATTCTGAAAAATCTATGCATTGGGCGTCCTGAGCTTTATTTTAAAATCTTACCTTGTTTCAATAATCTAGTTATGGTTTGAAATGCAATGTTAATTTAATAATTAGCAATCATTGTACAGCAAGTAACTGCTATGTTCAGGCTTGAAGTATTTTTCTTGAAAGTATCAGAGATCTCACCTTTAAACACCTTCCCCAAAATGCCCATAAAATTACAAAACCATTAAAGTAAGAGTAAAGGTAAGAGTGATAATATCATCCACTGTATAAGGGAAACATCTTAAGTTTGAAGCAGACAGATTAAAAACCCATATTTGATGAATGAAACCAACAGAAACTCCCAGACTAAGTGCATAGCTATTTGTACTATATAGTTACATGAATAACATTTCAAAAATATCTCAGTTTGTATAATACCTGTTCTGGCCATTGTTCTCTTGTGAGTTTAAACAGACTTGATATAATCCTCTGAGGCTGTTGTTGTAACTCTGCGCTTTCAGGCGGCTTTAAATAGAGCAATATTTGGAATGCCCTGCACCTGTTTCTCTTTGGATTGCCAGCATTTCACGTAACTTTATTCAAGAGTCAGAAAAGATAGTGTTTATTTATTTATTTATTTATTAGTTTGATTTATATGCCGCCCTTCTCTGGAGACTCAGGGTGGCTTACAATGCATTAATCAATAGCCTTCATACTTTTTTGTATATACCTGCTTAGTAGGGCTTTTTGGCTCCCCCTAAGCAGTGTTCTATTTTATACAAAGTCAGCTTATTGCCCACACAAACTGGGTCTTCATTGTGTTGAGGAAGTTGCTCTTTAAATTCATTATGCCTGTTCCGAATATGGAACAAACCATTAAAAATACAAATCAGTGGTGTGTTGGCCTATTAATGGTCTCAGTTACATCACTGGCAATTTTCAGGAAGCCAATATTTCCACATAGAGCTTGACTGACATGCTAGAATTAGGTGTGTATAGTTGCAGATATTATATCTGACTTTTTGGTTTGAGTATAGTTTGGAAGTCCCACATGAGGAAATTATTTTAAACTTTAATCCTACATCTTTCTTGTGGTAATGTATTCAAGCTACCATCTTTTTTTCAGACCAGCTCTTCCTAATCTTTAATCATAGCAAGCAGGTATCAGTTGAGCCCAAAATGTCTGTTGTTAAGCGAGACATTTGTTAAGTGAGTTTTGCCTCATTTTATGACTTTCGTTGCCACAGTTGTTAAGTGAATCACTGCAGTTGTTAAGGTAGTAACAAGATTGTTAAGTGAATCTGGCTTCTCCATTGACTTTGCAACGGAGAAGCCAGTTGCAAAGTCGCAAAAGGTCATCACATGACCCCAGGACACTGCAACTGTCATACGAACCGATTGCCAAGCATCTGAATTTTGATCTTGTGACCATGGGAATGCTGCAACGATTGTGTTAAAAATGGTCATAAATCACTTTTTTCAGTGCCCTTGTAACTTTAAATGGTCACTAAATGAATTGTTGTAAACGGAGGACTACCAGTGTATGAATTTTTGCTTTGCTGAGATTTGCTGACTTAAAGAAAATAGTTGAAGCCTAGGGATGAGAATTTTATTTGAGTCTGAGCTTTTTCTTTTGCTGAAAGCCTATGATTTCCCAAGAGTTTCCTTTCTATCTTGAGGAAGGAGAATTGGTTTTTCCACTGCATTCTCATTTTCTTCCTGATTTCTTCTGGTAGTAGTTTTGACCTTCTTTACTGCTTCAAAGAAGCTGTTCTTTGGGACGCCATCTCTTATCACCTTGCCCTTGCTCCCTGGCTCACCACCTTTTGAGTTATTCCTGGGAGAAATTCCCTAAAGCTATCTGCTTTGAGATTTAATTCAGATTTAGAAATGGGGGAAATCGATGCATAGCCAAAGTTATTTATTTATTTATTTATTTATTGGTTCAATTTATATGCTGCCCTTTTCCAGAGACTCAGGGTGGCTTACAATGCGTTAAGCAATAGCCTTCATACTTTTGTATATACCTGCTTAGTAGGGCTTTCGCGCCCCCCCCCAAGCGGTGTTCTTTTTTATACAAAGTCAGCTTATTGTCCCCACAAACCGGGTCTTCATTTTACCTACCTCAAAAGAATGGAAGGCTGAGTCAACTTTGAGCCTGGTGAGATTTGAACTTGCAGTAATTGCAGGCAGCTGGTGTTACTTAACAGTGCTTTAGTCTGCTGCACCACCAAGGCTCTATTCCTATTGAAGGTAAAGTGAAGAATCATACTCCTCACCCCATGAGAATTTCACTGATTTTTTTTTTCTCCTTTTAAAAATAATTTGAAGGCAATTTCATTCTTGTCATGTGGAATGAGAAGGCTCAAAAATGCAATTTTTTTCCCCGCTGCAAATGACTATTCCTCGGGAAAAAAAGATTAAAAAGCAAATGGAAATGAATGTCTTCATGAAAATGGCATGAAACAGATTAAATAATAGTTGAGGCTGATTTCATTCAGGAGATGTACAAAATTTTTCCTTATGTGACATCAGCTTTCTCCTACTAAACATCCATCTGATGCCACCTGGTGTCTTATAATATGTCAAGAGACTATGATGAAGCAGATTGAATTTGATGCTGGTGAGAATAAATCACTGGGTCATTATATAATGGTACATGGCCCTGTTCCTTTTCCTAAACAGAAATAGTGATTTAAAAATTTACTGGTGGAAGCACTTTTTTTTTTGCCGGAAAACTGTTGCCTGATCAATCCTATGTCTTGTACTTCTGCTAATTATATATCACAAATGCCTGATCTACTGGAAATAATTTCCATCATGACCAATGCATTCCTAACCTAACAAGACACGTTGACCTTTGCAAATTGGTTCCTTTCCAGTCCTTGTTGTTTTGGACAAGGGCATGGCAACAATTGCCCCTGCAGAAGTTTGTACAAGAAACTATTAGATGAAAGCTAAAAAAAAAATTTTTTTCTAAAGGCAGCAAAACTAGACTTGAAATGTACAGTTTTAAAGGACATAATGAAAGGATATTTTAGGACCAGGATGAAAATTAAGCAGACTTTAACTTACAACAATGCTTGAAGCTGCCTTCTGATACAGAGGACTGGGCAGGCAAGAATTGTTTTCATAACCGCTTGAGTATATGTTGGGCGAGAGGTTAAGCCTCTTATGTTGGCTCCAATCCCTAAGCCAGAAAAAGCCTATATCTGGAAAATTGTGGCAGGAATGTATAATAAATTACATACATCAGATAAAAACATAGTGATGCTGAAGTAAAATACAGTTTCAAATTCGTGAAATAAAATCACATGTTTTGACCCGTTCAGATATAGCGCTGATTGGTGGTTTGAAAAATCCATGATTTACTTATTATATTTTAAGCAAATTGCAGTTGGTTTACGTAAACTTGGAGTGATGAAAATTCAGGCCCTATACATGTACAGTAAGTTCAAAAATTAATTATCAATGACTTTTTTAAAAAAAACATGCGGCACATGACCAGATGAGCTGAAAGATTAGCAGGATTGAACTCTTCCCTCACTTTCAAATCCTTCTCCTTTTGTAACAACTTTTGTAACCAATTCTCGAATAAAGCTCGTCTGCCTGGAATCCACACTGTATATCAGACATTAATACAATTGAGCGAGTCCAGAAGTATTTCATGAGAAGAGTACTCCACTACTCTACTCACAATAGAATACCTTATGTCACCAGGCTTGAAATTTTGGGCTTGGACAACCTGGAACTATGCCACCTATGGTCTGACCTAAGTAGAGTACACAAAATTGTCTGCTACAACGTCCTACCTGTCAACAACTACTCCAGCTTCGACCACACTAATACATGGGCAAATAATCAATACAAACTCAAGGTAAACAGCTCTAAACTCGATTGTAGAAAATACGACTTCAGCAACAGAGTGGTCAATGCCTGGAATGCTCTACTCAACTCCGTTGTTACATCCTCAAACCAGAGGTGGTATTCAACAGGTTCTGACCAGTTCTGGAGAACCGATAGCAGAAATTTTGAGTAGTTCGGAGAACCAGTAAATACCACCTCTGACTGACTGCCCCCATTCTGCCTTCTGAGTCCCAGTTGATCAGGAGGGAATGGAGATTTTACAGTATCCTTCCCCTGGAGTGGGGTGGGAATGGAGATTTTACAGTATCCTTCCCCTGCCACGCCCACCAAGCCACTCCCACCAAGCCATGCCATGCCCACCAAGCTACGCCCACAGAACCAGTAGTAAAAGTTTTTGAATCCCACCACTGCCTCAAACCCCCATAGTTTTAACCTTAAACTGTCTACCGTGGACCTCACCCCATTCCTAAGAGGTCCGAATGGGGGCATGTATAAGTGCTCCAGCATGCCTACCGTCCCTGTCCCACTGTTACCATTTATTTGTGCTCATGTCCATGTTTATACTTATACCTGTTATCTCATACATGCTTGACAAATAAATAAATAAACAAACAAACAAACAAACAAACAAACAAACAAACATTTACCCGCCCTTACAATTTACTAGAATTGTTATTCATTGTTGCTTTCTATCTCTGTGTAAGCAAACAGAGATACTGTTTTAATAAATTTATTTTTATAGGTCAGAAAATATGGGTAGCAGAAAGTCTATCCTTAAGACCGTTATCTTATGGACTTCCCTCCCACTTTCTGTCCCAAAGTTTCAAGATTTATCTTGTTTGAATGAAATGAAGCAACTATTTTGAAGATATTGATCAGGAGACTATTTACCTCCAATATGTAAATGAAGTAGGAGACGCTGTCGTTCAGTGGCTAAGACGCTGAGCTTGTCGACAGAAAGTTCGGCAGTTCAGCAGTTCGAATCCCTAGTGCCGCATAACAGGATGAGCTCCCATTACTGGTCCCAGGTTCTGCCAACCTAGCAGTTTGAAAGCACAGTAAAAAATGCAAGTAGAAAAATAGGGACCACCTTTGGTGGGAAGGTAACAGCATTCCGTGTGCCTTTGGCATTTAGTCATGCTGGCCACATGACCACAGAGACATCTTCGGTCAGGGCTGGCTCTTTGGCTTTGAAATGGAGATGAGCACCATCCCTTAGAGTTGGGAAATGTGCAAGGGGAATCTTTACCTTTATGTAAATGAAGTCTTAATCATTCAGGCCAAACGTTTCTTTAAAAGTTTCATTTTGGGGAGAACCCCCCTGCTTCTGTAGGACAAGAGTTGGGTCATTTCAATGACTCTCTGACTCTCTGCCTGACCAAAATTTTGACTGAGGAAATTACTTGGCTGATTGAGTAATGAAACATCTCAGTTTTCATAAACTTTGGTCCAGTTGCCGTGATTTAACCTTTTTCTAAGATATTTACCTCCAATTTTGGGGGGGGATTTTAATTAATGGGGGAAGAAAATGTGGAGGTCTCAGAGGAAAGATAGCCGGTATAGGCATATGTGCAGGGAAAAGAGACTGGATTCTTAATGGGACTTGAATGCAATTTTACCTCATCTGTGTATTATAAAGGTGCCACAATGCTTTGC